ATGTCTGCTAATCTGAGCAACTACTTTGAAGATAACAGTATACAATATAACTATTGTTAATGTCCTATCATCTTGTTTTGAAATTCTGTATTGTTTTTATTGTTCTTTTATTATTCTCTTTAAAATAAAACAAAATGCATATTTGCTTTCCAGAAGCAAAGACACTATTTCAGCATTACTCAGGTTTTCCGTTTTTGCATTAAAAGATTGTACTTGTACAACTTTATATTGTTTAGATCTCTTAGGTTATAAGAGAAAATCCAATTCCAAATTGCTTTAAGCAATAAGTTAGCTTTTGTGGCTACTGTAATGAAATTTCAATTGTGGTTGTCTTATTTTGTTTTCTCTCAATGCTGAGGCAAAATACCCAACACAAAGTTAAAAGGGAAAAGGTTTATTTAGCTCACAGTTTGTAGAGGTTCAGTCCATAATCAGCTGGCTCCAAGGCAGGATGGCACGGCTGAGGGGCATCCCAGAGGGGAAACAGTTCATGGCTATAGAAGACAGCAAAAGGAAGCAAGCAAGGGGGCACAAGACTCTTTCTGTCTCTTATATTGTATGCAGGCCACCTGCCCAAAGGCAGGTGTAGCACTCACACTCTTAATCTTAGCCAGAGCTATGTCAAACCAATCAGTGAGCTGATTTCCTAAATGCATACCCTTAGTGCCAGCATTACACACCCTAGACTCAGCCACCTCCAAAAAAGCCCTATGCTGGTATGAGGCTTTGGGGGGCCATCTAGACACAAATCATTCCATTCTGTCCCTGGTCCCCCGAAGAATCACACACATCCCCTTGTTGCTTTTGCTATGTTCCACTGCCATGACTGGGTGCCCCTCTGCCATGTGACACCCGGCCTTGAAGTCAGCAGATTATGGACTGAAACCTCTACAAACTGAGCTAAATAAACCTTTTCTCCTCTAACTTTGGGCATCAGGTATTTTGTCTCAACAATGAGAAAGTAACTAAAGAGACAGTGGTGGTGCATTCAATGGAGTTTGATTAGAGTTCAAAATATTCCAGTGGAACTTAGATTTTCTTTGTCAATTCTATTTATAAAAACTTTCTTTTTACATATGTTGGCATAGAGTTGCACCAACTCTAGTGTATTTCCTTTTGGTTCAAGTCTTCAAGAAAAGAGTGATTTTTTTCCCAAGTTTCATAAAAAATCTTGACCCTAGGCCTTTTGATTGGTTCACATGCACCTTGAAAGAATTGTAGCTAAAACATGAAGCATGGATGGGTTTAGGTGAGAAAGAGCCCACTGCTGCAGTCATGGATTGCACCTATTTGAAAGTGCACAGACTAAGAATATGGATGTGACGAAAATCACCAGATTGTGGATAGCACCTCAGTTGCTAAAAGGCCAGACAGTCCAAAAAACTGCATTTTATACATTTTTACAACTGTAGTTTAAGCATATTATTTCAGTACAATCCATGTTTGATTTTGCTTTCTTTCTTATGTAAACACTAAAAATTTAATAATATCAAGTGGAGGGGGACATTAGTCCACTTAGGCTCTCATAACAAATAACATAGACTGAGGAAATTCAGAAACAGAAATTAATACCCGCACAATGCTGGACGCTGCAGGTTGAAGGTGAGTTGCCGGTAGGGTTTGCATCTGGTGCGTTCACGCTCCTGTGTCTCACATAGTTGCCGTCTCTGTGTACTCACACGACCTTTTCATAGAGACTGCGTGTGGAGGGATAGTATGGGGTACTGTTAAGTGTCTTTTAAAATTGTTTTTGTCTTTTTGAGACAGGATTTCACTATGCAGCTCAGACTGGCCTAGAATTCACCTTTGTAGCCCATTGCTAGATCAGAAAAAGTACAGGCTACGTCTGATATCTAGAGAGCTGCGATGCCTTAGTAACTTTTCTTGTCTCTGGGTCACAATTCTGAACACCTGCAGCTTAAAGGGAGCATAGTTCACGTTGGCTCACATTGTCGGTTTCATCTATGTGTTGCTCTCCAGTTTCAATCAGGAAAGGTATTAGAACCTGGCAGAGAAAAGCTGCTCACCTCATGGCAGGCAGAAAGCAGGAAGTGAAAATAGGAGCTGAGACGGGAGATATACCGACCCAGGTCGCATCCTCAGTGGTCATCTCTTCTGACCAGACTCCTCTTCCCAACAGCATGTCAGCTGTCGTGCTCCCATAGTCCAATCGGTTTCCAAACTCATGAGGCTATGGGGTCATTTTGGTTCTAATCAATGGCTTTCCATCCATGGCCCCCCCAACGCTTATGCACATCTCCTTATGCAAAGTCCATCTGGTGCATCTCTGACAGACCTCAACGTCTCAACACTTCGAGGGTCGTGATAATGCAAGTCCCAAGTCTTTGAGACTCAGGACTAACTTAGCTGTGAGCTCCTGTACAAACAACCAGGCAAACAGCAACAGCAGATGCACTTCCAGCACACAGGGGCACAGGGTTAATGCTTCCATTCTAAGAAAGAGCAGGGGAACAGAAACAGGAGGCCAAAGCAAGGATAAAATCCAGCAGGACAAACGTGAATGTATTTACTTCCATGTCTAACAACTGGGGCAATTTTTGCCAATATGTAAGCTCAAAAAGAGTTGATTGGCCCTACACCTATGCCATAACAAGGCATGGATTATAGAGATGTTTAATATTTGGATCCTTGATCCAGTTTAGTGCATGGTCATAGACATGGGTCTAGTTTTAGTCATCAGCATGTATAAAGCCAGTTACCCCAGCACCATTTGTTAAAGAGGCTATCTCTCTTCCAGTGAACATGTTTGTCTTCTTTGTAGAAGATGGGTGGTTTAGTGTACTCAGAGTTGCATCTGCATGTTCTCTTCTGTTCCACCAATCCTCAGGTCTTTTTTTTTTTTTTTCTTTTTTTTTTTTTTCCAAGACCATGTTGATTTTAACACAGCAGCTTTGTAGCATGGTCCCTGCAGAAGGATGACATGCAAATTTGTGAAGTATGCCATATTTTTAAATATTAAA